TGAAAAGGAATAGTCTCAGATTCCCCTGTAAACAGTGAATATTTATATCTAATCCCACTTACACAGCGTTTTGTTCTCAAATGAATCCATTTTATCTAGAAACTCACAAGGGTTGTAGTTACTGTGAATAGGATGACATAGACTAATGCAAATTAAGAGATGTAGGCAATAAATCTGGGAACGTAAATATTTATTTCTCATACATTTATCACCTCTAAATTACTGGAATCAAAATATGAATATAACAAAGATCTATTTAAGTATGGTAAAAATTATAAACTATGTTATTTTCTTTGGAAATAGAACTGCACAAGCAAAATAACGGAGAGTTTTTTGAGCTTGTATAACTATAATTAATGCATTAGGCTACACAAACTGATCTCATGACAGTCAGACAAATGAATTTTTGACACAATAAGCAGTGGTTGTCTTGTCCTGCAATAAACATCTAGTTGCACTGTAGATGTCCAAGGTGAGGTATCAGCTTGAGTCTGACTACCTCCAACACTGCCTGGCTTGGTGACTGAGGTGTATAATTGTCTTTTTCCCCCAAAGTGGAAAACAGGGAAAAATATAAGGAAAGTTAAGCATCATATGAAAGTTGGGGAAATAATGATTATTTAATACAGTAACTATAATTCCTTACGATGTTGTAGGCAGCGTGTTTTACACTGTGAATGTGCTCCTTGGAAGCATGAGCTCCAGTACTTTTGAGTAGTCATGCCAGTGCCTCTGGTATTCCTGTTTAAGAAGTAATGACAAATGTCCATGTTCCTTCATGACTGGAAGCCTGTGGATACTGAAATATCTCATAGTATAAATGTGGGGATAGAATTTCATCTCTAGAAGTCATATCAACTACAGCAACTTAATGAAAACTGTATCTATAAGATAAACAACTGCTCTTTTTTTCATCCAACATGTCAGGGGACACCCCACAGTAGATGGCTGGTGGGCTTCAGGAAGAGAGTATTCTTCAGTTAGGACTACTAAGGGCATCTGCTGAACAGAGAGTTGAACACTGCTCTCCAATCCTCCAACCAAACCCAGTACAGAAACCTCTGCAAATAAGAATAAATTGTCTTCGTGGGCTGTGGATTCCATCATTTCAGAAACAGCACAAAGGTGTTGTTTGGGCTCTGGTAAATTGAGCTATGATGAACACTGTTGAACATAACTACTAGCGACTACCACAGCATGGTGTACTATGGTTACATGCAAACTCGAGGCTTGGAAAACAGCCAATTTGTCCATCCCAATATATACCCTGATCTCTTTCTGACCGAATGCCAAGACCACAGTTGGATGGGCATCATTCATCCCTGCAACCTCCCTCACCATAGAAGGAAACAGAGCCATGCCATCGGAGTAAACACAGTGCACTCCAGCAGGTCTCCCTGATCTGGATGACTGAGTAACTTTCAAGATCACATATGTAAGTAATTCTTCAAACAAAGATATAGTGTTTTTGAGTGCAATCCCAAATGAATCAGACCCCTCTGTGAGTTAAGACCAAAAGAAATATTTGAATTGCTGCTGTCCTCTGATCTTCTCAGAACCTTACTGGCTGCAAAATTTTACAAGAGTTTCAGGCAGCCTCACATTTCTATTAATGTCTACTAACATCCAGAGGGTCATCAGAAGCCAAAGGGGGGTTTGCCAAAGATCACAGAAGTCGAGATACATCAGTCTTTCCCAAGTTATGTTCTCCATGTACTAGTTTTTTCTAGCTGCGAATTCCCTCATGCCAATCCTTCAGATGCTCATTTTAGACTGCTTTAAAACTGTGGTATACTGAAAGAACAGTAGAAAGAAGCTTTCCTGTAAGTCAAGAAATGAACATTTACTTTTTAGCAGCTACAATTATATTTTTACAGGCTCTGACTGAGTTTTAACAACATCAGTGCAACTTCCTATTTTGGGCTCCTCTTCCTGGCCAAAAAAATGTTAGTGAAACAGAGTATCTTTTGCATGCTAACTATCCTGCTGAAAAATCCTAATGGAAATAAAACTGTCATTTAACTGCAAAGTAAACCAGCAAAGACACTAATAAACAGAAGCAGTTTCAGGCTTTCAGTAACTGTCATTCTTTCATCAGTATATCAGACTACTCTTCAGCTTTGTTGGCCTGCTTGTCTCCATAGGTCCTTCTATCTCACACCCAACTGTGAAACTCTAGCCTGTTTCACTGGCACTTCTTGAACAGATTTCCAATAGTCTGAAGGTACCCGGTTCCAGTCCTATGCTGCACTGCTTGCTTCTTTTTTTTTTTTTTTTTTTTTTTTTTTTCCCTGTATCTAGATGACTTTCAGGGTGCACAGTTTTTTAAAAGAAGCATCATAATGAGGTACTGACCTATTCATACTGTCATTTCAATAAATAATTAAATGTCAATTTTTTTTTTTTTTTTTTTTTTTTTTTTTTTCATTTGGAGATGCTGCTATTCATCCAGAATATTGCATTTACCCCCAGCTGGTCTGCCAATCAGTGTGCCAAATGAACTGGCCAGTTAAGAGATTTTACTTATAATAACATCATTATCCCTAAAATTCCAGTCTGCACTAATATATTATGGAGAATCAAACAGTTACATGGAAATTGCTTTTCGCAAATTCACCTTTAGAACCAGATCATGTAAATGAAAAAAATGCAGCTCAGTCCTGTGTTTTTATGGTGCTCTGTGAAAGGAAAGTGGCTCCATAGTGGTGTAGGTGTCCCCATGGACCTATGCCTTGATTGAGTCATTCACTTACTTGCTAATTAGTAATACTGAATAACTACAAAAGTTCTCCCTGTCATTTGTATAAAGTACAACGGATGTATGGTGCTTAAAAGAAACCAACTGTCACTTTGGCAACTGTTAAGCATAAGAAGGTTCAATTAGAAAGTCAAAAGTTGGTACTACATTGGAAATGGGAAAGACTAATAAAAACATGCTTTCTTATGGGTTATGGACATAAGTTATTAATTAGTTTAAACTATTAAACTCTGAATTTCATAGAAAGGACTTCCAAAACCATACTGAGATCAATGTCAGCAGCAATATGCTTGCAAATTGCCAACACAGGGAAGAGATGAAAAGGGTATTATTCCACTATAGCTGGTCTTGGGTAAACACAAGGGCAGGTTCAAGGACTCAGATCAGGGGTGGAGAGAAAAGGTGCATGATGCCAGAGTAGTAAAGAAATTTAATTAGGCCCAATAATCTTATCCTCTCTGTACGACTATCAGTAAGGTAACTGAACGCAGGGCGTACGCTAAAGCTTTCCTGTCATGACTAACGGTGGCCTGTGATGGAGCTCAAGGCAGAGAAAGACCAGAAGTGTTTTCCATAAGGTAGGTAACTGCTATGACAGACTGCTCTTTCACACTTTTCAGGGCTTCTCCCCAGGAGACTAAACCTGTCATCTGTTCTAGGGAGGAAATATGCCATAACATTTTAATTTCCTGGCCCTATTTGCTAAATGCGTAGACTGTGGAAGCAGCTTTGGTTGATCACCACTAGGTGATATACAAACTATCCTTTCAGTGAGCGTGATCTTGATTTTGTTGTTGCTACAGGCTTCCTCCCTTTCACTGCTTGTCTATTGCTTGAATCATAACCTTTCAGAGGAAGAGACTTACTGTATGCATATAAAACAGTCTGGTAAAGCTCAGAGGCGAGAACACCAAGACAATTCAGCGCAATAATAATCAAGAAATGCAAAAAAACCCCTGTAATGAATTCATCAGCAGTGTCATGCTGTAAAAGAAAATTATCAACCAATTTTTCTGGGTCGGATGCAGAAGCACTAAGAGATTAGATGTTTATCTGACCTACACTGAAACCCAAATATATAGTGGAGTTGAGAATGAGTTCAAAATCGTTCTGTACCTGAATATTTCACCTTTACTTTGGCAGAAACCTAGTCTTTCGAAAACTTGCCATTAATTTTCAGTTAAAACTAGACATTTTTTTTTTCTAATGAAGTAGTTACCGTGTATTCTGAGTTTATCTAATCTCCCTTAGGAAATGACCACTGACTCGGGCAGACTATTCTTTCTTCATTCTGTGTTAACATGCTTTTTAATTTTCACCAAAGATTGCTGTTTTAGGAAATGCTGGCTCCATAAACTGCTCTTCTATTTAACGCACACCCAACATTTAGTCTGTGTTAACCTGACAGCTGTCTTCTTTGAGGAGGACTCAAATTCTGCTGGGATGGGTTTGCCAGCAAGACTCCACGCAGTAAAAACCCAGTGTCGTTTTTCCACACTCAACACAAATACATCATTTACAGAGGATGCAAATTGTAATAGCATGTTAAACGAGCTGGAGGATCACCTTTACACAGGCATTAGGAGGCACTGCAGAACCACTTTTCTGTGGCTGGAGCAGGTAAAAGGACTTTTCAAGCTCTACCTGAAACGCTTATTCCAGTGCCTAACTCGCACCCGCCGCTTATGGAAAGGCAGCGCCGAAATGGCAATCGCGAACCCGGCCGTGCCTCCCGGCCGAGCACGCCGCTGCCGCAGCTCGCTGCTGCGCTGAAAATACCGCGCAGTTGCTGGGGGCTCTGCCAGCCCTCCCCCCGCCCCCCCCCCCCCCCCCAACTTGCCACCGGGGGGGTCCCAACCCCAGGATTTGGCTCGGCGCCCGCAGCCTAACCTGACCCAGAGCCCGCCGCGGAGGGAGGCCGCAGACCCCACCCCCCCACCCCGCTCGGCTCGGGTCGCCTGTCCCGGTCACCGCCGAGCCCCCGGGCACCAGGAGGGAGAAGCCCTCTGCCCCCCCCCCCCCCCACCACACACACACACACCGTGGGGCCGGTACCGAGCGCCCCCCGCCCCGCCTGCCGGGCTGGGAAGGGGCAGGCTCGGCTTCCTCCTGCCTCCAACTTCCCCTCAGTTCAGCCGGGTTTCATCCCCTCCCCGCGGGCTCTGCCCGGGCTCCCGGTCCTCCAGGGGGGCGGGCGGGAGGGAGGGGAAAGGCGTGTCTTGCCTGGGCTGCCGCTGCCGCCGCCGCCGCCGCCGCTGCCGGAGGCAGATCGGAGATATAAAAGACCTGGCCGGGCGCCGGCTGTGGCCTCAGTCCGTGTGGGCGCTCACGCCGTGGGGAGAAGGGGGCAGAGCGGCGGGGGTCGCGGAGGCAGCGCGGGGCTGGCCGTGGGCAACCCCAATGCGTGGACTATCCGCTGCTGCATTATGCTGGAGCTACGGTTCCGCTGAAGGGAGTCTGCATAGGGCCGGCTGGGCTGGACTGCAGCGCTGCCGTTCCTTATGAAGAAGGCACAAGTGAGTGCGGCCGGGAGGCGGGGGTGAGGGGCGGCCGGACCTACCTGCCGGGCAGGGCTGGGCGGTGGCTCCCCGGCCGGCGGAGCGGAGCGGAGCGGGGGGGGCTGGAGCGGAGTGTGTGTGGGGGGGGTGGGTGGGGTGGGGTGGGGTGGGGTGCGTGGGTCAGGGCAGCCGCCGGACGGGGAGTGCACACCCGCGTCCGTGGGGGTGTCCGCGGAGTGGGAGAGGTGGCGGCTCCCGGGCGGCCCGGGAGGTGAGGGGCGCCGGGGATGGGAACTGCTGCTGTTGGGGAGAGCGATTTGGGGGAGCTGAGTGGGGGGAGGGAAAAAAAAAAAAAAAAAAATACCGCCCGGTCTTACCCTTGGCGCCGGCAGCCGGGGGAAAAGTTGCTGCAAGCGGCCGGATCGGCGGCTGAGCCGTGAGAGATTTCCGAAGGCGTTTGGGAAGGTTGCCTTAATAAATCAGTTGTCTGTGTTGCGCTGAAGAGCTGAGTGCGAAAGCACGAAATAACCGGAGGCAGCGGTGCCGTGGCTGCCCTGCCCGGGGGCTCCATCCACGCCGCTCCGGCGAGTGGCGGGTCCCCCCGGCACCGCGCCCCCCGCCAGAAGAGCCGCCCTGCACATTCGGGGGGTCCCTGCCGTTATTTCTTCAAGTTCTGTAGAGATTGCAGTGGCTGTGCTGGGGGTTTGGTTTGGTTTTTTGTTTGTTTGGTTGTTTTGTGGGTTTTTTTTTTTTTTTTTTTTTTTTTTTTAAAAAAAAAAAAAAGGATGGGGACAGACACGAGTGAAAAAATCATAACGAGAAGCAGCACAGGGCAACTCTAAAGAGAAAAAGTTTCAGACTTGACTTTGCAAGGTGCTGGTACCTTCCATCCTGGGTGGCCGCAGAGGGGATCGGGGGGACTCAGTGCCGAGGCTGAGCTCGGAGGGAGAACAATGCGTGGACGCACACCCCGCGCTGGTCCTGCGCTGGGGGCTTTTGCTTTCCTCTCTTCTTGGTTAGAAGCAAGATACTTTTTGCTTTCATCTGTTTCTTGATGGTTGCGGTGTCATCCATGCGCCAGTAGCCTGAAGACACTTCAGCATACAGTCATTGGAAAAGACATAAAATATATATTTAAAAAAAAGGGAAAGATGTTACTGAAGTCTTTTGGGCTGTTAAATTTCAAGACATGACAGGAATTAGAAATACTGATTTTTCTGAAATGGTTAAACCTCAGCTGGCCAAGCACTGGAGAACATACCCGTGCTTAAGGAGTTATAACTTGGAGACTTAATTTTTCTGATGCTGAAGTACAGTGAGGTACTATCTTAAATGATCAGTTCTGAATTCTAACAGCGTATAGAATATCCATTGCTGTTATTCCCTTTAGATGATTGAAGATGCCTTGCACCTCAGAGTTGTTGTTTCAGACCCTATATACAAACTTGGTGAAATATGCTGGAGAATATTAGTTGGGAAGGGTCTCTTAAAGTGTAAAAGCTGTATTTATGTGTGCTTAGTTCTATGCATTAATATCAGAGTGGGTAGCAATAAAGTTACAAGCTGTTATCCTAGCTGAGGGAAGCATACATGTAGGGCTGTTTCTTCAGAGAAGAAAAAACTGTTCAGCAAACAAATGAGGATTTTTGAGTGCAAGCGGCCAAATGTTTTATTTCATACAAACAGTAAACTTCTAAACCCAACAGAGTAGTTTTTCAAATTCAGAACAAAGCAGGAACAATCCCGCTCTCCTGATAAACTGGGAAAGACAAGCAGTCTTGGCATTCAGGACCATATGGCTTGACTCAGGGGCTCACGAGCTGTAGCCTGTGGAACAGCTTCTTGTCATGGTGGTGAAGCGTCTGTCAGCCTTCAAGCAGTTATGCTTCCTGCTTTTTGGAGACAGTGACAGACTCCTAGCTCTCCAACGGATTGTTTCCATCATTTTAAGGATTAGCAAACAAATGTGATACCAAACCATTAATCATTCTGAGGTGATCAGAGCAGGAGATACTTTAAGACTTTCCACTAAAACCATGAAGACCCTTGTGCAAAGAGAGGGAGCAAGTGAAGCGGTTACAAGAAGGAGGACTTAAGCACATTGGGGCACTCTGCCCATTAAAGTAAATTTTAATTTTATGCTCTCCTGTAGTTACTTTTGCCATTGTCTGGACTGGTAACTGGCATAAAGAACAGGATCGGGAATCCAGGAAAGAAGTTAACATTTCTTACAATAAAATATTCTGCAATAGACACAGTACAGAAAATGAGAACTGCTACATCACTGAGCCTTGAAAACACTTAGTACCTGGATAGTGCTTCAAATAAAGCAGGGATTTTGACGTTTAAGGAAATGTTACACAGAGATAATATATAACTAGTGCAGTTGAAGGAGTAGCTGAGTCATACATCAGTGCAACAAAAGTGCTGAAAGAGAAGAGTCGTGCTGAACGCTAGACTAGAAGTGAGCAGGTTGGCCAGTTTATTTAAATCAGTCTTAACCTGAGAAACCACAGAACTGCAGAAGCATGTTTCCCAACAGTGTCAGTTCTAGAAGGATTGTTTCTGAAGCTACAGTTTGATAAATATATAACCCCCTGTTTTAAACACACTATGACCTCCTGGATGTTTTTTTTTTAAAGTAATAATATCTTTAAAAATGTGATTAAACATTTGGGGTCCAGTCATACAAATCCTTTTTCAATGGGACTATTTCCATTAATTAATCTTATTGAAGGATTGCTTGTATGAGAGTCTTATATACTTAGTAATTAAAACTATTATCAGAAGTGAGTTTATGTCATTTTGCCTGCTAATATTACAGCAAGTAAAATATCACTGATGTCTGGACAGCCTTTTACATTTTTAATAAAACAAGATGAGCGGTGCTAGTGTGATACAATCTTGCAAAAACATGTAGCAGATTTCTGATTTGCTTGTTATTTGATTTGAAAACAATCCAAATAGGATTAAGTTACTAAGAAATATGCTGAAAGAAGTTACTAAGAAATATGCTGCAAGGAGTGGTCACCTATGGGGCTATCTCATAAGGCAGATGATGTTAAGGTATCACACATACTTGGTTCAGGCACTTAATCTTTAGCAGTGGGTTAGATGCACAACCTCTTAGAAACCTCAGTATTAGAAGTTTTAGATCTCAGCTTGGCTTTTTACCTCTAAATGCACACATCACTGCTGGTAGTTAAATGACCTGCTTAGGTTGTTCCACCCATAGTACGTTTGTGGCTCTGAAGTTGTAGTGTCTGCAGGAATTATCATGGAACTGTACCTGGAAAAAGGACTAGTACACAAATTGTCTGCTCTGGTCTGATATCGGCAGGCTAAATCAGAAGTGCAAAGCAGATATCTGATACTTCGCTGTGGGCTTGCAGAGTCACTATTTTAGGGGAAATAGTGAGCTCTGATTAGCAATCTTTCTTGCTCGTTCTGCAAAAAAAAAAAAAATGAGCTGGAAGACATTTGGATCTCACGGTCGGTATAGATCTGCTGCTTATCAGATAGAAAAAGAGAACTTGCTGGAGCCAGAAGGTTGTTGTGCTGTTCACATTGAGCGATGGACTAAGGTCTTTTTCTCTTTTCCCCTGGTTTTGGTTCTGCTTAGGGGAGGCCAGTTTGTGAGTACTGCAGCTGGAAAGAACGTCCTGGAATAAAGTGTCATATGGAATATAAACAGCAGATGACCTGGAAGACTCTAGGGTGGGGAAGCATTTTGTAAGCCGTGTTTAGTGATTCTTTTTTTTTTTTTTTTTTTTCTTTTCTTTGCCTGCTTGTGTTGTGCGCCTGTAAGTTTTTTATCTCCGTGAACTATGCGGCACTTGGCTTGGTAGTCTAGACTGAGGCTGCTAACCCAGTCCGCTTCTGACCCAGTTCTGCCATCGCACTAAAATCTAGTTTCCCTTTTTGTGCACTGCATGTCAGTTGTTCAGGTACATTTCTGCAAGCTGACAGTGCCATTCTCCAAGTTTTGTTATGTGACTTAATGGTATGCTGGCTCATGTAATCGCCATATTGTACGAAAGTTAAGAGTTGGCAAGATGCAGCCCTTGGCTTCGGGTGTGCAATGCTCAGTATGCAGTATGTAAACACAACACCCATTTATTTGAAGCAAGGCAGGAAAAATCTCCCTACGCAATTCCACTTGAGTGGTGTGGGAGCTGACAGATGAAAACGAAAGCGTTTGTTCTCTCTCCCTGGTCTTTGGTATGCCAAATCTGAGGTTGGTCAGCCTTTTAAACGTGCTGCAAATCCGCTTGTTTTTTGTTTTTCCTGTGCACTTGTGGGAAAAGGAGATGGACCAATGTAAGGTGAGTGCAGAGGGGTAGTGCCCTTTATTTTTGTTGATTGGCCCATGTTTCCATTGCGTACTGAGTCGTATGTAAACCTGCAAACCTGACGTTTGTAAATAATACCCATGCTGAAATAACTGACTGTGGGGAGCATGTAAAACGTAGATTTTTTTGGTGGATGGTTTTAGCTATTGACAAATGTATATAGTATCAGACATTTACTAGTATGAGAATGAAAATTTAAAATACAGTTACAAACAGAGAAAACAAAAATAGTGTGAAGTATTTTATTTGATTAAATCTGGTAGCATCCATAATAATATCTGAGGTCAATAAAAGTGGATACGCACATGAAGCATTATTTCTATCAGTATGTCTAAATAAAAGCCAGTTTAGGAGTTCAGATTAATGAACACTTTGGAGCACAATAATGTAGGAAATAAATTAGCCACAAATTTCCTATTATTATCTAATAACCACCGGGTGAATGATTTGTTGCTGTTTCTGTTTAAATAATGTTTAAATTATACAATGTAGGTGGATGTGATAATCATTTTAAATCTGATTAGGAGTTTTCTGCTTTATACATCTTTTTGCATTATCGTTGCTGCATGGAGCAGACTTAAGTTTAGGTGCAAGGTGAAAATAGCATCAGGTCTAAGATGTCACTGCAGCTATTGCCTGAAGGGGGCCACTGTGGTATTCGCTGCT